AACAGCAGCATTAATTGCATGCCCTTATTCCAGTGAGAAATATGAATTATTTTGAATGCTTACTTCAATCTTAGTAGCAACAAGTTCCACTTCCAGCAAAATTTAGTAAGTAGAATTATCAACTTGAAATCTGAACTAAAATTCAAAGTGTAACTAAAACATGTTCTTAGTATTTCAATACCCCTCTACTATCCATAAAGTGTAAAGGCAAACCATTTTGTCTTTGGATGTCATGTTAAAGGCAAATGACCAATAAATGATATCATTCTATATTTTAAAAATTCTTTCCCCTAAAAAAATCAAAGTCATTATCTGAAAGCAAACTGCTTGAAAACTTCGTAAGGAAAACAGAGATCTTGTCAGTGATTTAAATATTCAGCACAACTCTCCCTCTATCTTGAGAGAAGAAGCTGAATTAATGAAGCCAGGGATTCTGTTATCTATCAGAGACTTCACTACTGTACCCATTTGCCACAGACCCTCCTACTCTGCCCCCTGCTCCTGGCTTAGACTAGAAATTAGAGTCCAAGTATTCCCACTACCTTGCAATAGGCTCGACCACACAGATAAAATCTATGTATGATGATAACATTATACCCTCCAAGGCCTGATGTTACGGTAAAGCCAGTTAAGCTGCTGCCTGCTACACCAGCATCCCATATGAATGACAGTTTGAGTTCCAACTACTTCACTTCCACTTCTGATCCAGCTCCTGTTAATGTACACAGGAGAGCAACAGCAGATTGTCCAAGTGTGTGGGTCCCCACACCCACATGGGACACTAGTTCCTGGCTTCAAACCGGCCCAATCCAAGCCAAGCTGCTGTATGCATTTGAAGAGTGAACAAAACCAATCTCTTTCCTCTCTCTCTCCCCCCAACATCCCTGTCTCCTCCGTGTGTGTCTCTCTGTAACTCTTTCAAATACAGAAGTAAATCTTAAAAACAACTTACACAGTCCAGTTTACCAATTAGGTCATCTGCGCTATTTGAAAAGGTATTTTTTGAAAGGTAAATGTGTCTAAAACGCTTTACTTTGCCAGTCAAACACCAACAGGCAAAGAGAAAATATCTATTCATTCAGATGTAAGGAATGATTGATTCAATTCACTGGTTTTTACCTCTGAGAACACTAAGGACCTGAAGACAGAAAGTCATCTGTCTCTGTACGTGGGGAGAATAATGTAGTCTGAAAACCAATCTGTGTGATCCAAGCAGTGACGCCCTACATGGTGTCAAACCCTGGACAGGCTAACTCAACAGCCTAAAGTCTCTCCTTCATGTGGACACCAGCGCTGAGCAAGAGGCCCTCCACGTAGACAATTTTGTGTGGCTACCTCCCCCATGACTCCTCGGAGTCATGTCACTTCAGCAGCGATATAATGGAGACATTATCCTAGGCGCTGGTGCTCACAGTGCTGGCCTTGTGAGACCCACAGCGGGAGACTGCTGTGCTCTTCCTGCTGAGAACACCTAGCAGGGTGTACTGCCAGTAAGCCAACCTCCACCTCCTGTCACTCTGAATCGCTGGCTTTGTGCTATAAATGCGTACTTTAGGAGGTAGAAAGGACCACACTGAAATGCAATATGTGCTGATATTTTAGGGAGCCTTAAATGTATGCAGTCTGCTCCATCTTTATCTATGTTAAACACATACCTATCATGGACATTGAGCTGGCCTCTGCATGACACACACATTTTTAAAAGAAGAATTTGAAGATACAAATGTTTTTGCAGTGCTATATATATTGGGTTTTTCATTCCTAGTAAACACAGGATTTTGAGAACCTTGAAACATACCCAACTACTCATTTACCCACACCCCAGCACCAAAAAAAAAAAACATAAAATTTTTAAAAAGGGTACATACTTACAGGCCAGTTTAGATTCTCACCAGAATGCTTTGCTGAAATCTTACACAAGTGCTATATGCTCACTGAAGTGAGTTGCCCAATTGAAACATGCCTTTCCATTCTTATAATGGAAAGAGACCTTCGGCCTCTAGTTCTTGCCTACAGAACCATCCATTTTCATGTCCAATTCCTGCCTCTTGGTGGTGCTGACCCTCTGGGCCCTTTACTGGACTCTTGGAACTAACAGAGGGAAGCTTTCCCCTCTGCCTATTATGGATGACAGTGACACTTTAAGCCAAATACTTTGGCTCTGATCTTGCTTCAATTTGTACACTACTCAAGAGTCCACAATGCTGAATAATGAAAGAACAAATGGATTTGCTCCACCTTCTCTAGCTATTTCCAAATTTAGGACTCATCATAGGCCAGTCATCGATTAGAGAAAAGCTCTTTTTCTTATTATTTCATAAAGCAATTTTTAATATTTATGTGGGTTTATAATAAAAAATAAATAGAAAGATGAACAATTTGAAAGCCTCACACTTCTCTTCTATTTACCCTATACCCTCAGAACTTCATAAAAATTTGCTGGTAAAATTAGTTTACCACAAATTCTTCTAGAAATACTTTTTATTTAAATAAAATAAATATAGATGGATAATTTTACTTCAACCAAAGCTCAGCATACCATACACATGGTTTTGCCCTGAGCTTTCCCATTCATCATTTTTCTTGGAGATCTTTTCAATCAACACACAGAGCTTCTATGCACAGCTGTCGTGGGACAGGGGAACCAAGTCCAGTGGGTGAGAGCTGTTAAGTAGAATTGATCGTCAAGGAGCACTAGGTTCATGCCAGCCATGAGAAGACACACTGTACCCTCAAACCCAGTAAGGAGGTAGAACTGATAAGTTCCACTTTTCCATAACACCCCAAAACCCTTCTTCCACAGAGTCTATACCATTGTGCTGCTGTTAGATCAACAGTTCTGCTCCCCTGGAAGATTCTACACTCCACAAAGGTAATAACACCACCTCATTCATCTCCCTATTTCTTACCCTGAACCTAGCATGGTGAGACACACAGCAGCACCTAAATACTGGAGGAGAATGCTAAGGGGGAGCGTGTTAAGAGAGGAATGTTAAAGCATGGGATGGTAAGAGTGCCATGGGTCGACCCCATACTCCAATAAATGTTTTGAAAAATGCTAGTAATAAGTAGCGACAGCGAGGTTGAACAAACATTTAAGTGAAACCCAGAATGCTAAAGGGGTATGACTACAAAACATTAAGTTCAGCTCCCATAATTAGTCTATCATCCCAACTTGAAAATATTTAAATGAATACCATTCTTCAAAATCACAATTCTAAAATAAGCCTGACAATTTTGTTGGGAAAAACAAAAAACTACTTAAATTCCACTCCTCTTTAAAAACTGAAGAAGAATCCAGGGGAAAATCTAAACATAACCTTAATACAGGTTATACAAAGTTATTTTTTGACTATCAATAAAAATTCTATTAAAAAGCGTTTCAAATTGAAGGTGAGGTGCTGAACTTTTAAATAGGCATGAATTCCACAGTAACTACGTAGATTATCATCATTCTGGAATGAAGAAATGTTTCCTGGGTGTTTCTTCACACTAACAGTTCCTTCTACAAGCTAATAATAGCTTCAACTTAATGAACACTCCAATTTGACTAACTCCTCAGAACACATATTACTTTTCCAACTTCTTCATGGACAGACAGATCTCAACTGGGCTCATCTGTCCTGCCATGAAGAGGCTGTCTATCTCACATTACACTTTTGCCCCCAACCTGAAGCATGAGGGGTGCTTTGTGCCAGAGGCTCCCAGAAGGCAGAGCACCAGGGAAAAACCATGGTCTTCGGCGCTGGGCTTGGGTTCAAATTCTGACTTTACTAACCATCAGTAACATCATGCCGGGCAACTCTGTTACCCTCTCAGAGGATCTACTTACTGCCACTTAGGAAAAGCAGGGGTGACTGAAACTTGCTAGAGCTGTTAGGGAGACTGCATTATATTAAACACAGAGTGATTAGCATATAACAAAGACTTAAAACATGTCAGTTCCTTATCGCAATTTCTTCATACTCACAATATATACAATCAACATTCCTTCTGAGAGCATTAGCTGTTTCCTACCTTGCACCCATCTTCAGGCCTGTTAGTAATCAGCTCTCACTGTATTATAATATTTAATACACATATTCAAGAAGATCTGTGTCCATTTTTTAAATGATGTCTTGATAAATAAATGAATGAATAAAACTTCATGAGCTATTAATTTCCTGTGCTTGGGTTCAGGAACAACTTTGCAACATCTAACCGCCTCTACAAATCTCTTACTTCAATTTCCACCGATTTGTTGGAATTGTCACTGTCTTAAGAGTAACTAATCAAAGTGATTAGTGAAAGGCATCATAACATGGCAGTCTGGTGCAGAATCTTTGGTAGATTTTTGGATTTCTATTTAATTGGAAAAATTTTATGAATTCTAATCATAGGTCATCATTTCTTGTCCCATGACAAAAATTAGAGAAAAATTCTCCGGACTTATTTTGCTACTCTATTCTGGATTTACTTAGCTGAACATTTACAGAAAACTGGTAAGTTTCTATATTAGTCATTATTTATATGGCTAAAAGTCACCACAAGGCTAACTAACTCCTGAGGTGAGAAGAACCAACCTGGGATTTAAGCCAGAACGACAACTATACACAAACACTGCGAATGTTAGTGATGCCTAGCATTTTGTTTAGCACTTCAACAACTTAATAATTATTTTATTATTCAAGGGTAGTTTGCTCTCACTTCTGTATTTTACAGAATAGCAGAAATATTAAAGCTTCCTCCCTCTCTCTAGCATGTAAGAAAAGAACACAAGTTAGCATGCACTATTTTTATGTTGACAGTCAGAGCTGTTTGGAACTATTTTTGTACTGTCCAATGCTTATGCCAAGAAAAAAGGTTAGCATGCCATTAGCAAGCTAAAGGGTACATTTTTAGTTTTTGACTACTTAATAAGTACATTTCTTTCTTTAATAACCCAAACATCTACCCTTCAATCATAAACAATAATGTAATTCATTAATACAAGCCATTAAACCATAATCAGAAAGTCTTACCTTTTGCGCATCTCCTGTGAAATATGCAATGGCCAGAGTGGGCAGAATCATGAACAGTGCATTGTAATACAGCAGACCATATTTTCCCAGCTCCTAGGATAGTAAATAATTACATGTTTCATTTGGTCCTATGACTATCACCCCAGACACATGTATACACCATTTTGTATCACTTTTTTTAGTTACAAGTGTTTTTTAACTTCAATAGTTTAGTTTGAAAATACAGTAGTAAGCGTTTATGCCACAGGACTCATGTAGCCCTAAAATTCTAGGTAATAAAACCCCCAAATTATTAAAAGCCTCTTAGTGTGCCCATACATTTCTAGAATAAAACAATTAATTGACTGCTATGATCATAAGCATCAAAAGATGGGTCTGAATGTACGACAGCGGGAAGTCATACTGAAATCAAACTACTTTTAAGGATAGGCTCCAGTTTCACATGCCCAGGCACCGCAAAAATATGGGGAGTGAACCCACAGATGGGAACTCTCCTCTGCATGTGCATGTGTCTAATAAATACATTTGCAGAAAAAGAACAGGTCCTCTGCTCATCAACCTGACCTGCGTCATCCAGGATGAAGGGGAAGTGCATGTGGGCACAGACAAGCACCAGCTTGATAACTGACAAACAATACGGCCCCAACTGCCAAAACTGTTCCTCCTTTTAGTTTTAACTCTTGGAGTATCTTTCTCTCTGCCTTCTTACTTAAAGACAAAAACTACAGCATGCTATGTCATTATAGACATGTTGGAGTATTATGTTCTTTGTTGCCCTATAGTGCTGTTTAGCAGTCTCCGCATAATTTTTCCAGTACTGCTGTCTTTTATAGTTTTCCTATTTATTTCTCTTGTTGTCATCTGACTTTTCATAGTGTTAGAAAGCCTGTCTCTACAAAAAAAAAAAAATCTATCTTCTGGTTTGTGGCTTCCAAATGTGAGACTGCTAAAGCACAACAATGAGCTCAAAAGTTGTAATGCAAAGAAGTTACAAATCATTTCTGAATGAGGAACTAGACTCTCCTAGAGCAAAGCACATAGAATCCACTGTTCCTTTTTCCTAGGTTCTGGGAAGTACTCTAGAATGTGTTAACACAGCAGCCACCAACTACAGGTGGTTGCTTAAATTTCATCCTCGTTACATGAAACTAGCAATCCGCTTCCTCAGGGCTATGCTGATCTCTTTGGAAATGCTCAACCCCATGTGTGTCTGGTGGCTTCTGTAACAGAAAGTAAAGACAAAGATTTCCATCGTCACCGAACGTTCTACTGGACAATACTATTTTATACAGCTGAAGTTGCCAGACGAATGAAATGTTAATATTGGTTATTAATTTTCCAAATCAGTAGTTCTTAACAGAAAACAATGAAGTAGGACTAAATGTTTAACCACTCTCTTTTCTCTATTTAAATAGTAAAACAAAAATTTTCTAGCAGCTTCCATTAAATAAGCTATCATATATTTTATGAGCAAATACAAGGAAATGTCACAGAACTGCTACATGATGTATATATGTTTGAAATGTTGTGTCATAGCCCACAAATACGTACAATTATTTTAAATAAAATTTTAATGCAATTCCCATAATTATCAAGGTAAATGAGTATAAGATAATACACAAGAGGTAATGCTGGAACAAAATGTATTTCATGTAAGTAACACCATCTTTGATTCTTCAACAATACTCTAAAACAAAAACTTCTGCGAAAATAATGAAAGCTGCTGGTCAGTCACACAATCTACAGTTCTTTTCCAAAGGAGAAGGCAAAGGCCGGGGCTAAGATCGCATCAATTCAATACCAAGACATGAGCGAGTAGGATTTCTACATTTAGGATCTGAGTTCCCAAAAAGCATCTGAAATAGTTTCATAAATACTATATATTCAACATAAACCAACTAAGCAGATAGGGTCACCTGACTGATGAGAAGATATGAGTAGCAAAATAAGATCGAACCATGGTCAGTTAGAAGATGTAAGCATGGGATAAACTACTGTAGGCCACTCAGAAAACCTACGGTGACAGCTAAGATAAAAATCTGAGCTGAGTCCTCACGCAGGCGACATCCTGATGTCGCAGATCACTCTGTTAGTACCCAGCCTATGACACACAGGGCTGAGGTCTAGATGGCCCTTTCTAACAGAAGTCGCCTCATAAGATCGTGTTCCAAAAGCAATGTGGCTCAAACACTGATCTAAAAAGAAAATCAAAAGTGACTATATTCAAAATATGAAGACAAAAAAAAACCTTAAAAAGCTTTTGTGTACATGTTACAAGTAGAAAGCAAAGAACTGAGTTAATACAAAGTTGTTATACATATGAGATCTGGAATAGACTCAGTGTGCCCTGAGAAAGATATTCTCTCCCACACATCCTAAGTGTTTTTCATTATCCTTGTTTTGTGTTTCCCCTGAATCAACATTATCATTCCCCAAAACTGTAAATATATATTAAAGAAGCTTTAAATTGCTACCTACTTTTGAATCTAATTTCTGTTTTACATATGCACCATTTGCTGCTGTTAGGACATCGTTTATCAGAATAAAAACATATCCTTCCAGATCAAATGCCAAGTCAGAGCTGCAAAACAGAAGTAACACTTTAAGAACAATTTACACTTCAAGAACACACATTTCATTTTAAATAGGTCTAAACAATTGGCAAGGATATCTTCTTATCTACGTGAACATCAGGCATTCTGTAAGCTGCTAATATTCATTGCTGCCTGGTCATAATTCGTAATTTCATGCTTACCATGGGATTCTTTACAAACAAGAATCACAAACACTGAAATAGATCATTAGTTAAAATCAATCACATCAGTTAATAACATTTCTCTGAAGTCAAAGTCAAAACAAGCTGCCAAATCCACCGTCAGTAAACCAGTGAAGCAAACAGAAGCTTAAGTTTCAGTGATAAGGAAACCACAAGAACAAAGTTGTTCAATGTCACTTTGCGAAGAGTCACATAAAAGTTAGAACTCTCTTGCACAGGCAGGTGGGTCACTAGATGGAATTTCTGCGTGTGAATGCTAGTTTTCAGGTCAAGCTCAGGAGTGTTTAAGCACCTAGGAAGGTATAACTAGTGAGATTCAACACACAGAAAATGCCTGGTACTTTCGTAGAATACTAGGTACCCAGGATAAGAATCTAATAAATTCAATAGAATAAGTAAAATTGTGAGCATCCTACCTATAATGGTGGCCCCACGTTTGATGACGGCAATGATATTATATACTTGGAGTAAAACTACCAAATGTAACCTGGGCTTTTGAGAAGCTCAAAGCCATTGCAATTTGAAGTGGAGTTGACCTAAAGCACGCACCAGCTACCCTGAGCAGTCTCATGGGCCTGATTAACTACAGATTTGCTTTCCCCAGTCTAATTAGAGAGTAATACCCCTCAACAGTGCTTCCTAGGCTAAAGCAAGCCCTGAAGAATCCCTGCTGTTCTGTACTTGCATGGATCCTGGATCCCGCAGCTTCAAGCATGCTAGGGCATCCCTAAGCAGAAAGGAGAAGGCACATTTCTCTCTCTAAGAATGAAAATTAATAGTAAATAGAATTTGACTTATAATATTTTCTCCTTATCTATAATAGAAGGACTTGCTGAAGACCAATAAGCCAGTCCAGAAACACTGGAACTTTAAGAGAAGAGAAAGCATGTCAGACTGACTTTGTGGCATTAGCAAATCCATACAAGTAGGGCCTGGGCTGGGTAAAATACAGATGCCTTCTGGCCTTCATTTTGAGTTTGGGGATAAAAATGTTTCACTATATTTAAAACTGAAGCCTATGAAATATGGGAAAACTCTCAGTATTCTAATAGAATATTATTGAGACATCTGTGACACATTGTTAGGGAGTGCAAAGAAAGCCATCCTATTATTCATTACGTAACAAGGCCAATCAGTCTTTGCCATTTTCTTTACCTCACACACAGGGCAGAAAATAAACTCATCTGGCAGGGCACAAAACAATAGGATGCTGCATGGTATGTAAATCACACAGGCTATAAAGTCAGGTGCAGATTCGCATTCCAGCTGTGCACCTTCAAAGCTGTGTGACCTTAAGCAAGTTATTGAATTTGAGTTTTACTTTTGTCAAACAGGAAAAGTATACCCATACTTTGGAGTGCTCGTAAGAACACGTAAGTGGGCACAACACTGAACAGACTGAGTGGTATGATGGAAAGCCCTCAGTATGAAAAAGACAATCGCCAATCCTAGATTACATCCAGGGAACTTCCTAAAAATACAAATGCCATCAGTCCTAACTTAGTATATATAACCCAAAAGACTTAACATTGAAAAACTGTAGATGATTTTTCAAAGAAATGACTGGTATTTGGACTATAAACAACTATTTTTATTAAATAATAGATCATTTATTAACAATAGTTACTGATAATTTCTGAAGTGTCACATATGGGCCCAAACTTACCTGGCAGCCACAAAGGCTCCAATAATCATTGCAAATACAGTCATTTTAACACCCCAAGAAAAACTTTTCCTGCAAAATAATTTAAACATACACGCATGTAACTATAGTTGTTTACATATCCATTTCACAACATAGGCCAAAACATTTTGATACAGGATCTTTTAAAAACACATAAAGTCATACTTCAAACATTTTCAAGAAACTGGATATTTAAAAGAGCCCCTTTGACGAAGCAAAAACTCATTTTTGTTATGTAATAAATAATTATACCTTTTTAGTGAAACCATGTAATATTATAGAGTTTGTTTATAAATCAGAACTTCTTTAAGCAGGAAAAGGGTCACACACAAGTATAGCAATAGAAGCTGAGACAGAAACTCTGTTTTTAAAAACTGCTTTGATAACTGACCCAGCTTCACCCAGTGACAGGGATTCTAGAAAATAAATCATATGTTCAGATGGATTTCCAGTTCCAAAATCATGACCCTCCCAAGTACTGCTCCACAAATGATCAATACTCAAGGGAAAAACTTGCTCAAACATCTCAAAAACTGCAGGAAAAGACAAAGACAAATCATTTTAATATTTCACGCATGCTGGATACCTTCTCAAGGTGACTAAACTTGTTTTAATAATAGATATGTCAGAAATTGAGCTCACTTGAGTAAAACTCCTTCAGCAATCATTGTAAACAAGATGGAGAACCTTCTCAGAACTGTAAACATTGGCAAGCTGCAAAGACAAAAACAATTAGGCAAAAGAAAGCTTTAACAACTCTGAAGCCAAGATTTTCCAAACTGGCACTTTAAAATAATGTAATATCTTACTTCCATTAGGAAATTCCATATTAACTAAGCTGTTAACTACAAAATGGGAGAGTTCATACAACCATTATCAGGAACTAGTAACACCTAAGTTTTAGTTTTATTCTGCTAATTAAGCAAACACACTAAACTATGACTCTGCTAGTCCTTAATGAATGGGGAACCCAGCCTGCAGGCCTATAAGGCTCTCAAAATCATTTGGTCTGGCCCTGCCAGGGCAAACACAGACAGGAATCAACATTCAGTTATGTCCACAGCAGACTAACATTTAAGTGGATAATTCTGCGTGGCCTGTGAATAATGTTATAAATATCAAATAGCCATTGGCAGAAAGGGGTTCCCCACCTCTTCCTAGAAAAAAGACCTCTTTCTTCCGTACTCCTTCCATTCCCATCTCCATGACTACACCCAAAGCCATCTATGAAAATCTTTCCCCATGAAAAATCCTCTGATTGTCCTTTTGTAAATTCCCAGAGCATTTTGTGTTCATAAACTAATCAGCCTTGCAACCTCCTACAGCATTGCTATTCCGGAATAAGCCTCACTTACTCCAACGTGTCTTCTACTTAGCTGGCAATCAAGGATGGGTGTGAATGAATGATGGAGGGATGACAAGGGATGCAAAAAGCACAGGCCTGCATTTCTTTTCAAATGGGTCATGATGCAGGAAAGGATGTCCCAACCATGATAAATCTGACTTCCCTAGAATATTCTCTAGAGATAGCATCTTGCTCACTGTCAGGTTTCTTGGGTTTAGAAAAGGGAGAAATGAAAAGTATCTTGTTACTGATCCTCAGACATCTCCCCAATCTGTTTTACAATCATCCACCAGGCCAGGGCTTTTGCTGATGTGGAAATGGTGAAGCCATGCTTAATGGTTTCCCTGTGTGTGACATTTTAAAATCACACACACCCACGGCATACTACACTCCCTAAGTGGAGAGGCCAGGACTGGGAGGCGAGAGGATAACAGGAGAGTCTCACAATGCAATGCAGAGCTATCACTTCTCTATAAAAGCTACACACACTGAGTCTGCAGCTGTACTGACTGGGACACCATCAGGTTTCTATTAAGCTTCCACCTGCTGCTAACCATGTCATAGCAAATGAAATCAAAACTTCGAATATCCACCCTCTGATGTTTTGTATGAAAATCATCTAATATGAGTATTTATGAACTACATTACATAAAGAGCTGAAATTTCAGAACTCTAGCATATTCATTACTGTAGATCTGGAAAAACAATGACAATCACCTGTCACAGCACTTTAGAACACATTAAGGCTTTTCAAACTGGTGATTAAACGGGGGGAAAGGACAAAGCAAACCAAAAACTGCTCATGATCTTCCAAGGAAAAAGCTTAGACTAAAATCTTTGGTGCAAAGCTGATTATTCAGTAATGGAAGCTTTCTGTTTCTTTTGGGTTTTTTTCAGAATCAATTACAATGTGCTAAATATTTGACATTCAAGTACAGTTCTAAGAATACATTATATTAACCTCACTAGGAAAATAAAGTTCTCCATACTTCAGTTTCTTTGTGCTGAACAGTCCCGTGATTTGGTTCCCAAAATATAGTAGAGGTAGTGGAAACGTCTAGAAAATTTAAAAAGGGATAACAAAACTCAATAATAAAGACAGCTAAAACAAGGTCCTTTCAAACAGAAACAGTTTTGTTTACACAATCAAATTCTTCCCGGCTAAGACAAAAGATTACTTCTCACACACAGTTTTGATCCCCATGAAATACCCAAACAATAAGAACTTTCGGCGGACACAGACATCAACAAGGCAGAAGGTGACAGAAAGAGGAAGACACAAAGACCCGTGTGGGACAGAAACATCATTTGCTTTTCAATGAAATGAGTTAGCCCAGGGCTTTAAGGCGAACAGCAAAGGGGAGTCAGGCGGTAGAAAACAAAATACTAAAATTCACTCAAAACATAAGCCATGCAGGATCTACCTGCTGGATCCCACATTCATTGGAAACAGAAGCTGCAAAACTGTTTGCTCTCGACCAGCCTGCATTGACTACCACAGAAAGTCTTGGGCTTCCAACAGAACGTGGGACCCCTTCCACACACGTCACTGCATCGATTGTTCACCTTCACCATACCCTCTTTAGCACTGGCGTTTTTGAAAGAGCAAGTTTTACATATCCAAGACCCTGACACAAAACGTACAATGATTTCTTTTTAGAAAGGATTGCTTTTTTTTTTTTTACCTTTCGAGGTACATTTCTGTCAAAGTCAGGAAATTTGACCACTCGGAGGGCCTTTCCCACCCAGAGAACTGCCACTGTGGCTACCATCTGTAAAGAGAACACAGATTCACTGTTCCACGCATAAAGACATTCACACAAACTCTGACAACACCCACCCCGGCATGCTGAAGCGCCCCACTAACCTGGCCGAGTCCAACACATAGTGAGGAGGGAAATCTACAAAAAGCGTAGAGGAGAGGAAAAAAAAAATGTTAGAAAAATCCAGTCTTAGCTCCGTGATTGTAATTTGCACAGGAGGAACCTTCAAATGCATATAGATACAATTCACATCTACAAATAAAAAAATCCCTGCGGGTTGTCAGGCTACACCACTGATTCTGGAGCCTCGGGTAAGCCACTTGTCTCAACTTGTCCCACTCTACAATTTCAGTAGTTGCCTGCAACGGGTTTGTCAAGGAAGTCAAGACAGCAACGGGTTCACAGCTTAGAAAAACAGAACCAACAGCAACTTCTGCTGCAGAGTCCCAGGTACACAGCAAGAGGATAACTTACTTGGGCGTGAGGATGCTCACGTCCCCAGGGGCTGTCAGCCGCCGGTAAGCAACCCAACCTGGGACCCAGGGTCCCCAGCGCAACAAGGAGGGCATCCCCGCCTCACTGCCTGCAGGCATGCACAGGACCCCAAAGTCATCTAGAACTTGCTCGGTCGCTCTAGACGTCTCTAAGGGAAGGGCGGGTGGGCTGTGTGTGGGGTGAGCTGCACCTAGGACTGGCAGGCGCTGCGCCCCAACGCGGCCCCCACCGCGCGCCCGGCCGGCCGTCGGCCGAGGTGGGACCCAAGCCCCAGGCCCGCGCACCCGGCCGACCCCTCCGCCCCGGGACCGCGCGCCCGCCGCCCGCCCTGCCCAGATCCCGCCCAACTTTGTTCGGCTTCAACTTTGGCAGCCAAAGTCCAGACAGCGGCGAGCCGCCGCCACCCGCTCCAGCTCCGCGGCCCCGGCGCCGCCGCCTCGGCCCTACCTGTAATTGGTGAGCACGCTCTTGTTGACCACCACGATCAGGAAGGAGCTCACGCCGTAAAAGCCGGCGGCCAGCAGCTTCAGGAACACGGTCAGCGTTTCGGCCGACGCCATCCCCAGCTCCTCCTCATCTCTGTGTGTGGAGGATTTCGCGGGGGCTTCTCCTTTAACCCGAGCATGCTGACGTCTATGAACTTCCGCCATGGCTGCGGCGGCGGCGGCGCGGGCTTGGGAGGGGAGCGGCGCGCGGGCCTGGCGGCGGGGAGGCCTGCGGCGGCGGCTGCCGGCGGGCTCGGGGCTCGGGGCTCGGGGCATGCGACCCGGCTGCAGGCTGGCTGCCTCGGCTCCCCGCACTGCCGCCGCCCGTCCCCGCCCAGGGGCAGGGACACTGCGGTTCACACCCTCGGGGACTTTGCTCCGGCATTGTGCAACGCGGGGTCAGAGGGTGGAACGGCGCCCGCCCCGGTGTGAGCAAGGGTTGAAGAGGGCCTGGGGAGCGGGGCGATCCCCGGGACCGGGAGACGCCAAGGGAGAAGCTGCGGGGACCACTCGGGGGCACCGGAGCGCCGGGCTGCGGGGCACGGACGCGGTGCGGCCGCCTTGCGCCTGCGCGGGGGATCGGCGGGGCGCATACCTGCGGCATCCTGGGGCTGGGGGCGCGCGTGCCCCAGGTATCTGTCACAGCCCCTGGGTGGACCCCCGCTGCCCTTCTCTCCACTAGGGCTGCAGTCCTATCAGATGTGGATCCCCATAAACACGCGAAAATTCCAGTCTGCAATGCATTGGCGTTCTCACACCTTCTGAACCCAGAAAGTACCTTATTTGTACAGGTAGAGCAAGATTTGTTGTTTGTTTTTTTTTTTTTTTTTTTTGTATAGAAAAATGTTCACATGTTCCAGAGAAGTAGCAGTGTGTGTAACCAAGCAGCTTGGGGATTGGTGAAAATACAAGGTGTTTGGTGCTTAAGAAATTTGAGTTGCAGTTCTGAGATGCTTGGAGATGTCCTCCACATTTAGCTGTGTGTTCTTGGGCCAATTAAATCCCTCTCTGAGCCTGGACTTCCCATTTCTGTGTTAAAAGGCCAGCACAGAGCTAGTTTTCAGTAACTTGCAGCCATTATCTCACAAAATAAGCAAATCCTTGCTTTAAGTGAAATAAATCTTTAATTATTTAATAGAAAAGAATTTTGACATTTCTTGAAAGGCTTAGCATAAGCATTTAATTTTTAAAAACTGAATTATTTATCAGAAGGCCTAGACTAGACATATAAAATATTTGTCATTTTCGAGTTATGATAAAAATTGTAAGACTTACCATTTAAAATCTTTGTGAGTATACATTCCAGTGGCGTTCACCACTAGACTATCCCCAGAACTTCTTCACCATCCCAAACCAAACCTTTTTTAAAATTTATGATTCTTAATTTATTTCTATTTATTTGAAAGGTAGAAAGAGAGCGATCTGCTGATTCACTCTTCAGAGGCTCACCATAGTCAGTGCAGGGCCAGGGAAGCTGGCAGCCTGGAATTCAATCCAGGCCTCCCCCATGGGTTCAGGAGCTCAAGTCATCAGCAGCCGGTGGCAGCAAGCTGAAGTTGGAAGCAGAGCTAAGAGTCAGCCCCATGCAGGCCTGTGAACACTATCCCCAGAACTGAAACTCTCCCACCACAAAGCAATCACCTCTGTGTTCTTAGAGTTCAACTTCCAGTCTCTAGGAACTGGACTACTCTGAGTACAAGGGGACTTCAATGCATGTTATAAAAAACTACACATAGATTTCAAAAATGTTTTATATCAAAATAATCTCTTAATTCCATCTTCAAGAGCTTTTCGAAGTTCCTCGCATAATTGGAGTTATACGTTGTTTGCCTTTTGTGATTGGCGTATTTCTGTGTTTTCAAGGGTTATTTGTAATGTATTATGAATAGAATTAACAAATTGCTCTCCAAGGAAATTGTACCAATTCTGCATTTCCACTATTATTGCATGAAGACGAAACCCTCCTTCATAAAGTCAGATGGCAACAGTGGAAAACAATGGAGGAAGAGATTAGAATGTAGTTCAAATTCTACCCTAGGAGGCATGAAATGCCAGGTATAGATTTCTGCAATAAATCAATTGTAATTACACACAGTGAAAGCAGATCTTAGCATAATGATCCAAGCAACTATTATTGTTTTTCTCAGCATAATTAGCTAACTTATTAACAAGTATTTGTTAAGAACTACTAAGAGCTGTTGGATTTTCCTGACAGTAGTAATACTGCGTTGCAAAGTGCTACCACCAAGTGTAGAGTTATCATTAAGTATAGAAAACATAGATGGATAGATGACCAAGAGAACATTTAGATGACATAGTAGCATTTCACCCCGCCCATCTTATAGATACTCAAACTTTTATGTAACTTTTGACATTGAATGACTTCAAAAAGTTCACAGAAATGTATATTATGAAAATATTCGGGATTTTAAATTTTCCTTACACTAAACATTGTCTCATTTTTACGTGAACTTTTGGAACTCCCCTTGTGTTTTAAGTACTTCGGCCTATTTTTTTAACCTCAATAATGTGAATCATAGAATCATCACAAGTGACTTATACGTTTGATAAATACTGAAGCACATCTTGAACATTTTAACAGGATTGAAAAAGCTGCATTACATGTTCTCATTGACGTAAAGTCTACTCTGGAAAGTTCAACTTTGTCAGTTTATGGATTTCATATCTTGTAAGATAAAATGGCTAGCAGGAAAATCTCTGCAATTAGATCATGCTTTTTATCATAATATCACTTTTAACCATCATGATTCCCGTAAGAGAAAATCAATTGTGGTCACTGTCTCAAAATTTACACTATGTTTTTTATCCATTTCCTTTTCCCTCGGCTCACTTACTCATCTTGGGATTTAGGTAAGGACTTTGATTACCCGCCTCTATTTTACTGTTTCACTTCCAGCCCAGATCATACCGATGACCTCCTCCTGTGTTGCACCACTGATTGTGAGTCAGGGAACAAAGTTCAAACAAAGCTCTCCTATTTGAACGATACTTTTTAAATTATGGGAACCAGAAGTAAATGTTTAGACTGGTGGTTAAGACTTTGGTGGGATCACAAGGCCCAGAGTGGAGTACCTGGGTTTCTATTGCAGCTCCACCTTGCTAGTGGAGACCCCTGGGAAACAGCAGGTTATGGCTCAGGTTCTTGGGTACCTGCCACTCACTCTGATAGGAGAACTAGGGCGAGTTCCCAGCTCCTGACTTAAGCATGACCTAGCCTTTGCCTCTGGGGAGAAGAGTTCTCCCTATATGCCTGCCCATGACCATCGGTACATGCAGATCTATAGATCTGTCTCTCTCTCTCACTTCATCCTTCCCACTAGAAAGTAGTTGTGGTGCAACAACTTATAAACCCGAGAACAAGACCAAAAAGGAAGACTGAGGCATGTACAGGGTCCTGCAACTTTAAGTCACTATGTACACAGATTTGTCCCTAGATCTATTGAACATTTAGTATTTGCTTCTCCACTTCTCTCCATTTCTTCCTTATTTGTGACAGTACTCATACATACCTTCATAAGAAGTTCTGGTACTGCTGGCACTTCCTACAAATATCAAATATAGCATTCCTCAAGTCTATAAAAAATAAGCAGGAAAAGATATAGCAATCTATTGAATCCATAGTCAGCAACTATTCAAAAATACCCCAAAAAGGGCACTGAAAACAAAATATTTCGAATTCATTGTTTTCACAAATGTTTTTAATACAAATCTTTCCCAGATCAAGTGTTCCTTTGGCTCTTCAATCATTTTTCCCTTGTGTTATTAGTGGCAGAAACCATATATAATTACAGATCTGATAAGGGACCTGCAAAAAAAAAAATGCTATGTGTCTCTTGTGAGCAAAATGTGATGACGCCAAGAGAGCGTTTGTCTTTTTGTATAACCGTCCAATAATGAGGTAGCTGCATCTGCCCACATTACTGTGCACATGCATGTTGCATTTCATAAGCTTCCACCATTTCAACATTGCCCTTCAGCAGTTTTTCAGGAAGCCATCCTTATTGACAAGGTGTTTCTGTCCCCTTCTGGAAGAGATGCAGGAAAACAAAATCCCAAAATACCACAGGCTCACAGCTACACTCTTCTACACACGTAGAAGCTCTGCTGAAAAACTCCCTCAAACTATTTTGTTTCTCTCAGTGGTCTTACCAAGTAGGCACAAATTTTGTGAAGCCGTGGGCGAAACTCTAGCTGCCAGCATTGAATAACTGGGTACAATACAAGCTCATTCACTGTTGCAAGTCACCAAATAAGCACCTGCCGAGTTTAAATATGCATGCAGGTTAGCCAGTGTAGCTTTAAGATCTGATCCAATGTCTTCTTATAACCATAGTCTTGAGAATTCTTGCATTCCTGAAAAGATATTTGTAATCCTTTCTTAACTTTGACAATGACTTTAATGACCGTGAGAAACTAGTCTGAGAAAATTGCAGAATGTTATAACAAATTTTAATTAACCACTTAATAAAAATTAATTTCCAGATTAATTAGTAACTTCCTAATCCTACACCTACAAGTGCAAACATCCTATATGGGGGCTGGTTCTTGTCCCAACTGCTCCACTTCCAATCAAGCTACCTGCTTAGGGATTGGGAAAGCAGCAGAGGATGGCCCAAGTCTTGGGACCCTACACCCAAATGGAAGACTGAGGGAGGCTTCTGACTCCTAGTTTTGGATTGGCTCAGCTCTGGCTGTTGTGGCCATCTGGGGAGTGAACCAGCAGATGGAAAAGCATTCTCTCTGTGTCTGTCTCTCCTCTCTGTAAATCTGCCTTTCCAATGAAAATAAATAAGTATTTTCAAAGGAGGGATAGTGGGGGGAGGGGGAAGATAAGGAGATAAGGAGATAAATAGTATTTCTAAGAAAAAGTTACAATACACTGCTTATCATTATTTAACCTTAAGAAGCTCCCATGAGTCTAAATAAAATTGCCTAGAAGTGATAAAACAACTCTTACAGATTATGTAATTAAGAAGACTCATCCAAATTGGTTGTTATTTTTAGTGGCTCTACATAGCACAGCACTCTGATCATAATGCAATCTTGTGATATCCTGATATCTGGTGAGTTGGCCCCTATATTAACCACTTCTCTAAAGAGCACTGTTTGGTTTTGGCACCTATAATGGAATCTGAAGGTCTCAGTATGAACCTGGCAGGAAAATTGTAAAGCTCTGAACAACACAGAATTTCACTGCCCTCATCATGGTATTCCTTCCTTTCCCTCCATCTGTTTATCCTCTGACGTCTCCTCTCTGACAGGCAACTAAGAATCTGGCTGTGTGATTATGGATGATCAGATAAATTAGCCAATTAAACTGTATTTAAATTCATAATGAACCAACCTCACCATCCTCTTCACCATGGCTTTGTCCTTTCTACAGCTATTATTCAGCACCCATCAAATTTCTACCCCCTCCACGATACTAAGCTATTTCATTTCTGAGTCACCCATGGTTTCAATGACATTAAACTGCCACTCTTGGTTCTCTTGCTTGATTGCACTCCACAG